AGATGGGTATAAGAGACCCCCCCCCCCCCCCCGCGCATATAAGCCCTTCAGGTGTCTAGTGGGTACCTCCTCCTTTGAGTGTAAGGGCTTATATGCGAGGAGGGGAGACGACTCTCAGTCGATGTAGGACGAAGCTCCTGCGGGCACTGAGAGGTAAAGGCTACTGGAGAGTTGCCCGCGTGGGTTAACTCAGGTCAAGCCGAAATTCTTAGTAGAGGCTTCTACCCCTTACAGAGTAATATGTAGGCTGATGTGCAAAAGAGGAGTAGAGAGATTGTACAGACTCATAAGGATGGTTTTGCATGTGATGTTTGAAGAGAGCATTGGATCAGAGTCAATGGGGAGCTCAATCCGATGGGGTTCCTACGTAAGTGGGAGTTTATTATTAATAATAGAGCTCTAATATATTGTGAATTTATTAAAAGTCTGATACACAAATTATAGAGATCTAGCAGTATCTGAATAGTATTGAGTGATTATATTTATCCTTGTGAATATAGTTGAGTACAATGTAATCCATACCAAATTAATAACACATCGATGTAGGCTTTTTTTGTCCATGGACGTAGGTACCGTCAAATTACGTACATTTTTGTGTTTTATTTCTTCTTTTTTTTCTATCTCTACAGTTCCTATCTTCAAAACAACGGTATCAAAGTTATTTTAATCAAAGCAATTGCAATAAACAGAATCAATGTTGATTAATCACTGTGTAAAACCAACAATTTATAATTGTGGACAGTCGAATTTCTATCCTAACGGAGAACGTATTATTAAACAAGTTTGACTAGTTAATGTAATTATAATCCTAATCCATTAAGACAAAATCTATAACTAAGAATTATTTGTCCAAGAAAAGTAGTTATCTTGTTCTTCGGATTGGAAGAACATGAAGAAATGCCTTAAACGAGGTTATAATGTTAACTTTCTAATCAATGAAACTATTTTTATTCATAAACGAAAAACAAAACAAAAGTATTTAGCACTACAGTATACACAACAATTTAGAAGTGGTGACTCTAATCAAATACTTCAAGATGAAACACAACACATATGTACATGAGGCCACTGCTGCAACACAAACATCAAACAGCTGGAGAGGATTACACCGGTGGTGATGGATATGGCTGGTTGTGTCGGTCCGAATAATTCTGAACGTTGGGAAAGAGGAGGGCAACCACATTGGTAACTCTATTATAAAGCCAATAATATGCATGCTTTAGTTTATTTCGTGCTAAGATTATTAGCAAAAATGCCAGTACAGCAAAAATGAGTTGGCCAAGAAAGTGTGGGAGGATGACCGATCCTAGTGAGATCGATGAAAGAGCTCCAGAGACGAGAATAACATGGGCTAAGACTTGTATGTCACGGGTTTTAGTTTGATTTTGTATCCCCATTGCGAGGCAGTATATGAATGTGGATATACAGAAGCACCACATGTTTATAGGGCATGCCTCAAATGGATCCTTTCCTTTGGCTTGATACCTCATGGCGACGAGGGCAGCTAGCAATGGCACCAGATATTTGAAGACCTCATGGCTTGGAGGACAAGGTGTGAACTTTTTCTTGCTTTCACAATCAAAAAAAAAAAAAAAAAAAGAAAACATGAAAATAAAAACCTTTGAATCTGGTTGTGGATTAACTTCAGATGAAAACATAAAAATAAAAACATGTAGGCCTGTTTGGTTTGCATTTTAAAAAATAGTATCCGAAAATATTTTTTGAGAAGAATTTTAAGAAAATGTTTTTGAAAATTTTTAGATTGCAAAATCTGTTTGGTTATATATTTTTTAAAATAGTTTTAAAGAACAAAAAATTGTAAAATCTATTTGGACAATAATCCACAAAACTCACAATTGTCATATCTATCTTTTCCCTCTCTTTCTCTTCACAAAACCCACACACACGCACACATAAACACATACACACCCACGCATACACACACAGATCCAGACTTAGATTCAGATCTACACAGATTTGTGCTTCAGATCTATGTAGATCTGAACTTTAATTGTTGTGAGAGAGAAAGAGAGAGGGGAGATGGAGAAAGCAGGCTCTAAGTGAAGGGCTCCATCTTCGTTGCACAACAATCTTCAGTGCTCCATCTTCGTTACATAGCTTCGTTGCACCGAGAGAGAGAGAGAGATGGAAAAAAAATGAAGAAAGGAGGCCTTTTGCTGCTAAGGGGATTCGAAGGCAGACCTCATTAAAGACCCAAAATTGCTTCTATGTTTCTAATGTTTTTAAAAAAAACTCTGAAAACAAGTGTAACTTATTTTTTATTTTTTGCTCCAATTCTCATTTTTTCTTAAAAAATTTTGACAATAAAAATGCTAAGAAAATAAGTTTCTAATATTTTTAAAATTTTGAGAACAAATAACACTTTTACATAACAAAATCAGGCCTGTATTTTTTCCACATTCCCCCTTGACTTAGGTGACTGAAATGTAGGACCACTAAATCAAATCCTATCTCACCGGTAATGATAGCTCATTTCTGGTTTGATATAATTGGGGAGGCTGCAATTCTCTTTCAACGAGGAGATCTTTTCGCATCGATTGGATTTGATAACATTAATGAAAATTGACTAATCCCTGAGTTATTTCGTAACAAAGGAGTTTACTCACGTTAATGATATGGTAAACTTTAACCAAACTCCACCCTTGTCTTCCTTAAAAACAACATTACCATTTTTAACTTATTTACTAAATTACTGTACTTTTTAAAAATCGGAGTTGTTGACTCCGTTTTTATTAAAAAAATGATTCAACAACCCCGCATTTAACGGACCAAAAAAAAAGTTATTCAATATTTCAGTCAAATACAAAAAGAGGGTGTTAAAAATTGGGGTTATTGAATCCACTTTTTTAAAGAGTGTCATAATTTGATAAATAAATTTAAAAATATTGTAGATTGGTAATATTATTTCAAAATTGCGATAAATTGGTAAATAACTTCAAATAATGATGTGTTGACTAAAATGGTGCAAAAGAAAAAATCTAAAATTGAAATTATAATAGTGTTATTGAACAGAACGTAAATTAATATATATGAATATTATTTTAGTTATTAGATTCCAATAATATTGCTCCTTACTTATGCTATTAATGAAGTCGAGAAATAAAAGATTCTTAAGATTGTTGATTCTATGTAAGGGTGTTAATCATATCATGTCGTGTCGTGTCATATTACTTTCGATTGTATTATTTTCGTGTCATATAACTTTCAGTATGTGTCGGGTTCGTGTCAATATGCGTATTAATAAAAAAATATTTAGTTCAACAACAACTCATATAATATTATTTAAAAAATTTAAAAAAAATTATTTTTTGTCTAAAATATTCGTTAAATAATTATCTATTTACAATATTCATTAATCGTATTATTTGTATCGAACTTTAATTTGACTAATTTATTACTCATGTCAACTAATCGTGTTTTTTTCGAGTATTGTGTCGGATTCATGTTAATAAATAAAATTGACACCCCTAATTCTATGCAATTTGGAAGTATTTTGTGATGCACAACATCAATTACTATAACAAATAATCAACTATTGTAAAAGAACAATTTTATCATAAGCAGAAGATGATAAAACACCCAACGAAAGGTGATGAGCATGATAGAACTCTCCAAAAAGGAAGAAATGAAAATTCTGTGGTTGTATTTGACAAGAATGGTCCCCTTAACCTCCTAGTTATAAGGATTTTGGATGTATTTAGGGTGACTTGACCGGTGGGTCTTTGGTCCAATGATACTTCTTGTTTTGTAAAGGTTTTGTCTTATTGAGGTCAAAGGTTCAAGTCTTCGTTCTCCCTCTCCTCTCTCCCCCTACCAAAAAAAAAAAGAAAAAGGGTGACCAATTAGACTAGACTATTTTGTCATATGTCAAATTATCTGAGTATTGTGTATTAATTTTCAATTAAACCAAAATTGACCAAAAAAGTTTAAAAGTAATGTTATTTAGACGTAAAAATCTGATTTGGGTAACGTACATAGAGATTAAATTCTCAAAACCCAATTCAACATAAATAAGACAAAAACGAAAAATGTCACAGGGAGAAGATGGTGTAGAAGTTTTGAAGACATGACCAGCTTAAAATCATGTGGTTCAATGTTAAGTGATTCGAAGGACACCAACAACTTGGCAAAGTCTCGTGAGACTCGTCGTTTATATAAAATATTGAACGGAAATATCAAAAAAATCAAATTAGATACGATTCAATCGAACTAATATCAGCCGACACTTTGAAGTGCTTATAACGTCGAGAAGTAACTCAAAGAATATATATATATATGACATATATATGAGTTTAGCTAACCTGCTTGCATAGAGAGGAAGACGACCATCTCTGCATGTGCTCATCGCCAGTCTCCTTCTCCAAACAACCTTAATTCTGTTCTTCTTCCTACCATTGTCACCTCTGTTGTCATGATCATTTTCCATGTTTAAATGGAGCTTATCTCAACACTTCCTTCTCCTGCAGTTCCTAACTCCAATTTGTTGTGCTTTACTACAAATTTTTTAGGTGTAATAGCTTTAAGCTATTTATTAACATTAGTGTATCTGAAACTATTTGACTTGACGTGTCTTCGTGTCCGCAAATAAGGTCAGGTAAATATTACTGTGTAAAAAAATTATCTCGGGATCATTAAGTGAGGGGGTAAAACTATGGCACCGAGGAGTTATTCCCCGACATCGCATCGTTATACTAAGATAATGGTAAAGTTACGATTCAATCTGATTAGATTAATGCGAAATGGAGTTGCTTGGAATGATTTTAATGTTTTAGGATCAATCATAACTTTTTTTAAGTGATTGCGGTCACATTGAATTGTAACGAAAGCCATAAATCACTACAAGAATTAAGATACTTGAGACAAGTTTTTTGCGGCAAATATGTTCCCCGTCACATAAAAAAAAAACATATTTTGAAGAAAAATTGTGGTCTCGAAAAGTCTTTTTCTTCCAACAAAAGTATATTTTAATCAGGGGTGGAACCAGGATTTTATTTTAGTGGGGGCAACTTAAAATTCTTAAATTGAAACTATAAATGTAACATAATTTTCATCAAAATGTATATTCTTAATAAAAAAAATTTATTTTTAGTTCTATAAAAAAAATGTCATTTAGATGTGCAACTCATATATGCAAGCGATGTACAAAAAAAGACAACAAAAAAGATTACACATCAAAAAACATATATTTCTTGAAAAAATATATGTCAAATTAGATTCAAATTTAATAGTTAGTCATTAAGGTCATAATGAATGACATAATATTGCACATAATCAAAATATAATTCATAAATCCACAATAATATAATTCAAAAATATACAATACTTGTGTGTATTTGTTGCTAAAATTTTAGATCTAATTCCTTTGTATTTGGGTCTTGTTGTACTAAATTTTTAATTAAAATAGACAAGTTTTGAAGTGGAATTTGTGTGATTCACTGCACAAGATTTTGTCCAGTTCATTCTTTATTTTGTGTTGAAACTAAAGAAATACACTATAGCAAAAATCAACCAGTGTTTTGTTTTTCTTGAATCTTGTTCTTGTGATTTTGGTGAGATAATTGCTGCTATATACCCCCAACACCAATAATCAAGTAAGACAATTTGTTGATTAATATACCAAAGCTTCTAAGAAATCAAAAAAAGGAAAGAAGTGAGAGGTAACAAAGGAAGGCAGAATCCCAAAGATCGAAGTTCGAAGTTTGAACAAAGAAGAAGTTCAGACGAGTAAAGGGCGTAAAATAAGTGAGCTGCCAAAGTTATGTTTAATTGTTTGAAAATTTCATTACCCCACCTATACTTAATGAAAATTTTAGTGGGGGTCAGATTTAGAAATTTTTTATAATTTCAAAAATTCACCTAAATCCCAAATTTTTTTGAAATTTCAATGGGGCAGCTGCCCCACTGCCTCCATACTAAATCCGCCCTGATTTTAATGATTCAATGAAAATCTCTTGTCTATCTGCTTGGTTGACAAAACCACATTTTCCACTACGACATTTCTGATTTACCTAGTTCGGATGATCCTGCCGATAGCGACATCAATATGTCTCAGAATTTGCAAACAGAAAAAACAAATCTAGAGAAAGAAATTCAAACATTAGAAAGACTTTTAGTAAATATGTTCAGTTTTTATTTTTTATTTTTAAATAAAAAATGGTATCTGTTTTTAAAAGTAAAATTTTGTTGCAAATCCCAATAATCGCCTATGATTGACAAATTCTATATAAATTTTTCTGTAATTTTCTTTTAATCTTGTTGAGAAATTAATTTTTTTTAATGTCATAAACGTTTTTGGTTAGTATATTTTAATGTTTGTATCTATTCGTTTGTTTGTTGCTTAATTACAAACCTCTAACTTGACAAAAAAAAAAAAAGAATTTGAGACAACTATACAATTATTTTTACAAAAAAACAAGGAAGTGTATTAAATAACAGAAATATTGTCTCGGGTCCATATATATGAGTCTAAAAGAGTGAGTACGAGTTATCCACTATTTTCAACATGGCAAATATGCGAGCACAAAAGGAGACTTCTCCTGATAATCCATGCAAGCTTAACTTTTCTATTTCAAGTAACATTATAATTTGTACTTAATCTAATGATTTAATTTATCGTAATTTTTAATTGATACTAGATTTAAACCGATATTAAAGTGTTATTGTAATCCATTAACAATAATCGATTAAGTAAGAAAAATTGATCAAAATTAGATTGAAGTGTACTCATTGCTCAATTTCAAAGTGTGATTGCAAGTGCTGGAACTACAACGAAACATATCATTCCAAAGTTGGTAACATATGGCCATGACTATATAATACTTAAAAGGAAGAAATAGTTAGACTTTAGGAAGGTTCTTCGTGAAGGGCTTCAGTGCCAGACACTGGCTCTGTGGGTCAATAAAAAAATTGTAATTCTGCTAGTAATTGTAATGTAAGAGTGGGTCAGCGGGTCAGGAGCAACAAAGTTGTTTTATTGTGATCTCGGTAAGGGTTCAAATTGTAGAAATAATCATAAGAAATATCACTGTGTGCATTTTGACCCTCCCCAAATTTTTTGCAGTGATATAACGGGAGCTTCGTCTACTTGACTATTTTGTTTTTTTAATTTTTTGATATTAGTTTATTGCATTAAGCAGATTGTAAAATGCCTACATCATTATGGTTAGTGCTTCTTGGTCTCAAGTTCTTGTCTATTTCTCCATTTGTTGTCACTTATCAAAAGTCTCGGGTAATTGTCACTAGAATTATGTGCATTTTCTTAGTCAAGATAGATGAGAAGGAACCCTACCAACTAAAGATTATTCAGATTTCACAATTGAAACTAAGTTTTAAAACACCCCTTTTTTTTTTGTAAAGCCTACATCCCAATTTTAATTTCAATCTAAGGATTCGGAAGTTTAAACTTTTCAGCATAAATAGTTTGTCTTTGACCGAATTAGAAAAAAAAATTAGTCGAGATGCGTGTAAAAATCTTAAACTAACAAGAGAGTCAAAAAATTGAATTGTAGAAGAAATTTTCATAGGGAAAAATTGAAAATGGAAATTTTATTTAATTTAAATAAGGGGTGAATTGCACTTTATATTTGCAAAGATTAAATTTTTCATAATGACACTCTCATTGAGTTAATAGTGTTGTACTGTGATCCTTCCATTAGTTCTCATTACTAATTACGTTAACTTCAATTAAAAAAACTTAAATCTTTCGGCATACAGATTCCACTTAAATAAATGTTAAACTATTTTATAATTACATTGGGAGCAGGTGGGCCCAAGGCAAATCTGTCCCTGATTACTCTTATCTTATGTCGATAAAGTATCAAACATGACTTCCAGCTGATTTGGGAGATCTGTCAAGGCCTCGCGTAATCTTGTGTTAGATTCACACAATATCCAAAAGGGACTGGGAAAAAAACCTTTTTGTTTTTAATGCAGAAAGAATCTCTCCAAGACATGATTGTATTGTATTTATTTCTTTTATTTTTTTGTTTTTTTATGGTGTTTAGATTTGTATCGATTATTCTTTTAAACTTAACGATTGATCGACTACTATTGTTTGAATTATGTTAGAGTATATTTGGATGATTTTGGGGTGAACAGATTGGATTAATTTTATCAAATCCATGAGACAAAGTATCGGCCGATTCGATATAAGTCGGCCGAGTCGTATCTGTCTTGACACCTTCGGAGACGATACCATTATATAATACGTATAAACCCTGAGTCTCAAATAAAATTGGGCGAGTCGTCTGAGTTGTATACGAGTTAATTATGAGTCACCGAAATATCGTCACCGAATTGACCGATATGATTCTGCGACACCGTAATATGTCTTGAATTTTTCATCATGTTCAACATTTTCTTTTAAATTATATTGTCCGATGAGATGCCGCGACTAATGTGTCTCAAAGCTCTCTGAATTGATGGCCGATACCACGACTTTGAACTATGAACAAACCCTTCCAAACCCAACACTCATCATTGTATACATGAGACTTATAAATGAATCTTATTCATATCTTATTTGGTCATGTGGCATAGTTAATCTATGCTAAAGTATATGAAACTCATCCCCCTTGGGTTTGCCCAACCCTATGTATATAGGTCTAATACTTCATGACAGTTACGAGCCGAAATAAAAATCTTGGGTTTAAAAGTTCTAATTAAATATAAAATTAAGAGGTTTATCAAAATATTTTACTTAAACTCACCCTTCCAAACCCACTCAAACTCACCAAAAAAAACATGCTCTTAAAGAACAAGGGTGGCTAGTCCTCATGTAGTGTCATAATAGATTAAACTTGAGTCTTCTGTGTTATTAAAGGACAAGTCTAACCACTAGACCACCTCTAAGGATTTATTACATTTATTTTAGTAAATTATATTTCGATACTTGAAGTCACCCTCTAATTTGAATTGTTAATTGAACTCATGAGTTTCTAGGAAGAGACAAACTCAAAGCGTGTAAGTTTATGATTTGAAATAATGTGGCGGGTTAATAGGAAACAATCTCTCTATGGAAGTACTATCTTTTTCTTCACGCGTGCATGTGATTAGTAAAATAGTGTTAATAAAAGTGAACAAATTAATTAGATGGAAACTTCACTTTTATGCTTTCATGATTAGCAACTTAAACCACATCCACCGTCTAATTTTTGTTTCTTTGCATTTGCAGTCTACATGAACCTTGTTTGAACATTGAAGCTAGCACGGATATTTCCTTAAAATTGACGTATTTATATTGGAATATTTTCCCTTTGAGTTCACATATAATTAAAAAAAATTACAAAATTTCATATGATTTTGAGAGCACGAGTATTTTTTTAAGTATTATCTACAATTACATGTCAAGAAAGTATGAAAAAAATGAGTTAGTTACATTATAATTTTAAAAATAAATACTTGTGTAATAGGAAAGATGAATAATAAGAGGAATACACTTTCTATTTTTTAAGGATGGGAAGTAAGAATGATACAATTTTTTTCCTTTGTATTTGATTGGATGAATAAAAAATAAAAGTGACGATTTTTTTTTTTTGGTGCTAGCTAAGATCAGGAGTGACAATCGAATCGTGTCATATTAGATTCATGTTGAGTCATTATGAGTTTGTGTCGAACATTAATCAAACTTAACTTAACTCATTTAACTAATTGTGTCGTGTCGAGTTATGAGTTGACCTATTTATTTTCATATCGAGTTCAAGTCGTGTTATTGTATTGAGTCGAGTCCAAAATTTTCACCCTTAATTAAGATGAAAAAAAAATTTTTATTAAAATATTTTTATTTTTAAAATTTATATATACATATTTGATTATTGTATTTTTATATAAAATTAATGTATACATATATGTATATATAAAAAGATATATAGACAAATAAAATATATTTCAAAATAAATAATTAACTTTCTATCCATTTTTCTTCTGATTTTGAAGGGATTGATTTTGGTGAGTTTGAAGAAAAGTTAATACATTCACTTTTTCATCTTTTATACTTTCATTCTTTATCAAACATGATGTTTTATTTATCTCTTAAACTTTTCATCTTTCCACTTTTTGATCATACTAAACGAAACATTAGTCTCGCTAGGATATGTCGAATTGACTTATAATAGGCCTCAATAAACTTGTTAATCGTGTCGAATAAAGTAAATTTGTGTTCTTAAAATATAAACAAATTGTATTGTGTATTTTTTTTATTGTTTTATTCATATTCGACTCATTAAATTAAAATAATTTGATATTCATGAATCATTATATAAAACAGAAAATAAAATACATGGGTAATTTATAATTTTTACCCTAAATAAAACTATATAAATTTAATTAAGAACAACTTATAAACAACACGAAATTTCATGTGCAATTTCAATCAATTGCTATCAACTCCCCCAAATATCAACCTCTGTACGCGTCGTCATTTCATCCAAAATTCAGTTGCGCTAATAACAATCTGATTCTCGACACGGGCTTCGTTGTTTAGTGCTGATGAGGTAAGTACCATGTATTCATGCCATAATTTTCAGTTTTTTATGCTCTGTTTGGTGGTTGAGAAATCCAACAAAGTGAAGAGAAAAAGTAAACTTGGTTTAGGGTTTGTTAATTGTCTTCAGATTTGTTTTTTTGTGAACTTCTGTTTATTTATTTATTTTTTTTCATATGTTTAGTTTTATGATTTCTTCTTAATTCTGGTGCTTCCATAATTCTCGTATATATGAAATCTCAATGTAAATATTTCTATGGGTCTGATAAGTTTCTGACAATCCAAGTTAAAGTCTCATAATTTTGATTAGTAAGAAGGAAAGTGGTTTTTGGGTAGGAAGTATGGAAGCTCAACGGGTAGATGGAAGTTTAATCAAATTAGTAGTTCGTATTTGGTGGGGTTTTGTGAGATCCGTTGAAAAATGTATACATACCAGATTTCTAGAGGGGAACTTTTTTTTTGGGTAATTCGGACTTGGGATACTTCATTTGGGAGAGCTGTGCTAGATTGGGAGTTGGAGTTGGTGTATAATATCTTCAAGTGCTATGGAACTCTAGTCAGTAGCGACATGGAGAATGCCTTATTGATATGCAGAATCTCCAACAGTGTAGGTTTGAGTTGAGCTTGTTCTATAGGATGTCGTAAATGGGGATTGCTAGTGTATTGTAGAAAGTGGTTTGACATAAAAAGTACCTCCAAGGGTTGCTTTCTTCTCGCTAGTAGTGGCTAGGTCATTGAGGCAATGCCGAATGTTGAAAGTTGAGAAAATGGGTAAGCTCATTTGGTGTTGTATGTGTGAAATGAGATGGGAAGTCCATCAATCTCCTATTATTACACTGCCTGTTGTTTGGCAGCTGTGGGGGCCTTTATTGGCCACAGCTGGGATGAGGCGGCTAATGTTAGTTCAGGTACTTGACTTGTCAAGAAGGTTGTATTAGGATTCAGTGCAAGTAAATATGGAATCTGAAAGTGGCCCCTTTTGTCTTTTTCGTGGTATTTGTCTTGAGCACAATAGTAGGCCTTTTGAAGGTGTGTAAACTTCAGTGCTCAGCTCGAAATAGGTATTTGTTTTGGATTTTCTCGATGAGTTATCTTATTTAGGTTCTTCTGTAGGGCTTCTTGTTGTGTTGGGTTTTGAGATAGGGTTGAGTTGAGTTTATGTTGCTTCTAATAAATGTTGTGGGAACATGGGTTGTATCTGCATTTTTGCAGTGATTCTTTTACACTTATTAAAGTCAAAAGAAGAAATATTTGAGGGTAATTCTATGAATTTAACCCAACAAAGCCCCTTGTCCCAACTGTGTGTGGTTGGCTCTATGAATTTTAGTCCTCCATTGTACACTTCAAGTTATTAAAAAATGTATTTTGTACAGTATATTTGTGACAAACATAAGTGGGATGACAAAGAGGAATGCATTTTTGGGCCCATACTTACACTCACATGGCTGCATAAACAAGTGCATCTATCTTGAGTTAATATTCCTGTTCATTGCTGGATAATTTTTGGAGTGGAACTGTCAAACTTCCATTTAGTGCAGACTAGATATTTTTAGATAAGAAGTCATGTGCATATTTTAGGCATAATCTTTAGCATTCATTTTCTCGTTTCAATTTTGGGAACTAGATTAACTCACGTTATTAAATTCCAAATCTGTGTATCAAATGAGCCTTTACTTTTATAGTTGCATACTTGCATATAATGGTTTTATATAAAATAAAACTAAATATGGTTTGTTCTTTCTTCCCATAAGTTTTGGCAAATCTGCATATCCTTGTATGCATGGTTTATTCTTCCCGTGACTTGCAATTTTGTTTCACAAACTTGAAATGGGGAAATAGTTTGATTATGATGGCACATGATGCTGTAATCATGAAATAGCAAATCCTACAAGCGATGTTTAACAAAGATATTTACCAAGGATTGATAGTTTCTTCTTGAGGAAAATCATTATTTTTCATTTGGATTATTAGCTTCTTAATGCCTGTTGTTTGTATAACTTTGCTGATTTTGAAGTCTGTACAATTTCTGATCCAAAAAAAAAAAAAAGTCTGTACAATTGAATTTGCCATTTTAAACATGAAGTTTGGTTCTTGTTGAGCAGGGTTTTACTTTTATCAGCAGTTGAAAAATTTTCCTTTAGCAATAAGAATGTCTAATAACTTCATTTGGGAGCCTTCTTGCTTGAGTCATGCCAGGCGATTTCAGCGTACCTTATTTAATTTTGTCATTTGGTGAAGATGAAGTGTCTATTGTTTCCGATGGAAAGTTTTTTTTCCTTTCAATTACTTTTGAAATGATTCTACCCTGTATCATTTGTGGGCTTGTTTAGGACTTTAAGAATTACATAATTGTGTTTTTAGTGTCATGATTAATGGTGCTTCATAACGTTCATTCCCAATTTAGATTGTGGTTTTGGCCATTCTATTGCTATGGAGCTTAAGGGAACAATTTCTTTTCCATGGGATGTGAAAATTCTTATTAGAAGTGGCTTTTGAATTTTATATAGATAAATACAAGCATTGCTCCAACTTAAAGCTATTCAAATATCAGCTTGTGAACCAAGGATGGCATCTCTAGCCCAGCCTCCATCTACCATGTCTGCCATTACTGTTCCCCTAGTCCGTCCTAGGAGCTTTCGATTGTCAAAGTCCCTAAGTCTGCCCCATAGATGGACCTTCAACCACATGCACATTAGGCTTCCAACTGTTTGCTGCACAAATGTGTCTCCATGGGAAAGTGGACCTGTCACGTATGCACCCAGTGAAGATATCGCAAGTGGCTTCCTAAAGGGAACCTCCAACATCTTTGAGAACATGAATTCTGAAAAAACAACTGAACAAGTGTTAACCAATACCGAAGAGCTCACAGATGCAAGCAGTCAGCCAACCATGCGGCTTCAGTATCTTAGATGGCCTATGTGGATTCTGGGCCCTTCTATTCTCCTCGCCACAGGCATGGTGCCCACCTTGTGGTTACCCATATCATCCATTTTCCTTGGCCCCAACATAGCCAGCCTTCTTTCCTTGACAGGACTTGACTGCATTTTTAATCTCGGTGTATTCCTCTTTCTCCTAATGGCTGATGCTTGTGCCCGTCCAAAAAACCCAACACAAAATTGCAGCAGCAAGGCTCCTTTCACTTACCAGTTCTGGAACATGGTTGCGACCATAACAGGATTTGTCATACCCTTGATGATGCTGCTTGGTTCTCAAAAGGGCGTCCTCCAGCCTCAGTTGCCTCCCATTGCATTTGCAGTTCTGTTGGGTCCCTACCTTCTGCTTCTATCAGTGCAGATGCTGACAGAGATGCTTACATGGCATTGGCAGTCACCTGTGTGGCTGGTGACCCCTGTTGTGTATGAAGCTTACCGTGTGTTGCAGCTGATGAGAGGGCTGAAGCTTGGTGCTGAGCTCAGTGCACCGGCATGGATGTTGCATACTATTAGAGGGCTGGTGTGTTGGTGGGTTCTGGTCCTTAGTATGCAGCTCATGAGGGTTGCTTGGTATGCTGGTTTCACTGCCCGTGCTCGTCAAGAAGAGGTTGTTGATGGTAAATGATTTGACTGTTGATGAAGGCTACAAGAAGGGTGGCTTCATATATATGCATATTGCGAGTATACATTCATTAAGTAGTTGAACTGGCAAGGTGCCTGCTTATATGTATATAACAATATGTGCCTGTATTTTTATTTTTTATTTTTAAATGAAGAGATCCTACTACAGTAAACATTGGTTGTTAAGCAAGCCTTTTACTGCCCGTGTTATTCTTAACAAGTCCTTACTTTTCCTGGAGATATAATATGTAATGATGTTTCTGTTACCTAAAATGACATTTGAGTAGGTGAATCCTTCAGTGGTCTGCATGAGAGACCATGGTCGGAATATACTACGTTGATTATGACTACAATAGATTCAGCTCTTCTGTTGAGTGTGATGGTTTTGGATCTAGCTGGTGACCCTTTCCAGTTGCTAACTGGCGGTTGGTTGTTTGAGCAATGAATTACGGAAATGCTTTTTCTTGTCGCTTCTCTAGTCGAAATATCTGACTCTTTTTCTTTGCCTAGGTTACACTTTGGAATACTCTAGAAGGAAATTTTGGTCTACTCTCCCAATCTTCACTTTACACCAAGCTGACTCCCTTTTTCTCATAAGGCAAGCAAAAGGAGAAAAACATAGAAGTTATTTTTCAAATTATTAAATTTTTTCAAAAATATATCCACACACACACACTTATTAATGCATAAACAAGCAAATTGATTGTAACAACATAGAAAAAGTGTAATACAATCATGATAGTAGGTTTTCATTGAGTGTATATCAACTATGGAAAAAAAAAAATTTCCTTCGGTCAAGGTTATTTGAACTCTGAGTTTGTTCTTCCCTTTCACCTACAGAGTTGCCCTTGACGCCATTATGTGAGAGGAGGAGGGCGGTGGCTGTGTGGTGGTAGCGGTGGCTATAATGAGAAGTGAGTATTATTTTTGGGACTTGAGGGTCCATATAATTTAGTAAGAAACTTTTGGGGATGGGGGTGTAATTTACCCTTGTTTTTTTTTTACCACCTCAAAAATGTGTTTCGGAACTGGATAAACTGTAAAACGAGAACCGGACACACGCGCAGCCCAGCGAACAGAGACAAACGAAAGTGTCCCACGTTGCTCTTTCTCTCTCTCTTCAAAACCAGACATCCCCAAAAATCGAAAACGAAAGACTCGCTATTCCAGATCTCTCTGGCTATCGCTCTCTCTCTCTCTCTGTCCGTCACATTCCTGGATTCTCAATTCCTCGCCGTGAAACAGTAATTAACCCTCTCGTCAGCACCGTTAAACCAACTATCTCTGCCGGAGACGGCCTTTACTTTCAATCTCCTGCGGCGCTCTCAGATTGTGTTAGAATGGAACTCCTCAGCATCGAACCTCAAGAGCTTCAATTTCCATGTAAAGTTCTCCACAACTTTTTCCTTGTTATTTTGAAGCTTTCTTATTGAGCAAGTAGTACTCAGATCCGTGCTTTCGTTTTCTCCATTTCTAGTGTTTTTATATGATTTGTATGTTTTTTTTTGTTTTTGGAAGTTGAATTGAAGAAGCAGATCTCTTGTTCTATGCAATTGACGAATAAAACTGATAACTATGTGGCTTTCAAGGTATCTATTCTAGGGTTCGAAATTGTTATTATTGCCATTTTGTTTAATCTTTGTGTCAATTGTGCCCTAGAACTGGAAATGTATGATTTTGATTGTAGTATTGGTGAATATTTTTCAGGTGAAGACGACGAATCCGAAGAAGTATTGTGTTCGGCCTAACACTGGAATCGTTTTGCCTAACTCTACATGCGATGTCGTGGGTAGATAACTCTCTCTCCCTCCCCCCCCCCCCCCCCCCCCCCCCCCC